CAGAATAATCGACGTTCATACAGACGGACACTTGACTTTCTTATTTAAAACAAAATACAACTAATTCAATTGTACCTTCTAGCCTGAGCCCATGTAGAAATATCAGTCAGGATTTCGTGGTTCCACACCATGTGAAGGAAATCATTACAATATGCAAAACGAAGAATAGCAGAAAGGTGTTGAAAGAAGCATTCACTTTTGTGCATCCACCTAAGAAAATGAAGAATCAGAAGCACAGGAAACCGAGCATTCTTCTATGGGGGATCGATTCATTGTCTCGCATTAACTTTCGACGTACCATGCCGCTCACATACAAATATCTGCAAGAACAGTCCTGGTACGAGCTCCAAGGTTACAATAAAGTAAGTGATCCTATGCATTTAAGTTCGGGAAGTATAACTGTTTAATACCATAACAGATCGAAGACAACACGTTTCCTAATTTAATGGCCTTACTGTCGGGCTACAATTACTCGAAAATTCACAAATATTGTCATCCCCAAATTGTTGGTAGCTTAAATGATTGTCCCTTGCTCTGGAAAAATTACAGTAAGCATGGATACAAAACCGCATATGCCGAGGATTGGACTGATTTCGCTACGTTTAATTACCGAAAACTAGGTTTTCTAAAACCACCCACTGATTACTATCTCCGACCATTTATGCTGGCCGTTGAAAAAATTCTTTCAGGCAATGGGAACTGTCGGGGTCGCCGACATATGGCCGAATATGTTTACGACTACGCAGTACAATTTACAAATGTTTTAAGATCCCAACCTACGTTCGGATTGTTTTGGACAAACAGTTTCAGTCACTCACTGTTTTTTTTGCCCTCATCCATGGATGAAAAAATGGTCAAGTACATGCATACTCTGAAAAAAAATGGAATAATGGATAACTCCATCATTTTTTTTCTGAGCGACCATGGTATGCGTTTTGGACCGCTCAGACAATTGAAGAGTGGCTTTGTGGAAGAACGTTTGCCAAATATGTTCATTTGGCTTCCCAAATGGTTTCGCCAACAATATCCATCCTTCGAACGAGCCTTAAAGCTAAATAGAAACCGCCTGTCATCTCCCTATGATATTTATGCCACACTTCACCATATACTGCAGTTAAAAACATCTGCGAACCATTTGCCTCGAGCCTCGAGCTGTCCTAAATGCCGGAGTGTTTTCTTCGAAATTCCCGAGAATCGAACCTGTGCCGATGCGGGAATCACACCGCACTGGTGTACATGCAACGTGTTCGAAAATATTAGCACAGCTGATAGAGTTGTTAAGATAATTATATCGAAATTGATCAAAGCCACGAATTCCTACCTAAGTGCACGGCATCTTAGCCATCGATGTAGTAAGCTGAAGCTTTCTCAAATTATCTCAGCCAAGACCAAGAATGATCCGGAAGGAAAACAGCAGATCTTCCGCCTTCGATACGAAACAAAACCAAAAAAATCCCTCTTTGCAGCAACTGTCAGATGGAACAAGAAGACAGGAGGCATTCCGATTAATATCAACGACATTAGCCGCCTCGATAAACACAAAAAGCTTTCAAAATGCATCGCCGATTCTAAGGCAAAGAAGTATTGCATTTGCGCCCATTAAGCACTGCCTTTTATATTCCTTATTTAATATATCCCTATAGGGAAAGAGCTTCAGTGCTTTACAGTCAATATGATATATTTTTTGTTAATTTTATTATTATGTTGCCTGCAGCTTTGGTATAACACGACAGATTGACATTTTTATATAATTTTATGAATAGTAAGTGACCAGTCTTACAGAATTTTTCGAGAGTGCAAGTAATTTAATGTCATGGTGGCTATTCAAAAACATTCCTGGCAGCTCGTTAAGCTATAGCAGGCCCATTACGGTATTGAAATAAAGAAGTTAAATTTTATTTACAGATGATTTCTGTGACAATCGTTCCTATGGCGGCCCATCATGAAATAACGTGTATTAGTTAAATTTATGTTTCAAAATTATGAATTTTTATATATTTTGTATTAAATTTTTGCTATAAGTTACTAAGAAGGAGTAAAATTTATTTTGGATAGATGGATTTTTAGATTTTTTTGTTATTCATTATTAGGTCAGATGTTCTCTGTAAAAGATATTTGATGTTTTTTTTGTTGTGGTAGCAAAATAAATTGATTTTCAGGAGCTCCGACCCGTGATAGGTCAACATACTGCAAAGCATCGATCCCTACTAAATCGAAGACTTGGACTTGGAACTACCGGAAATTTGAGCCATATAAATGTAGGAGTGGTAGAATATAACACAGTAGCCCTGCCATACTGCAGCCCTGGTTAGGAAATGACAGTTGGCATATGCAAGGGGGAAGAGAAGGAAATGAAAGAAAACGAAGTAACAGCATAAGTAGCATCAGATCAGAGTCGGGCCTGAGTTGTTGAGGCAGAAAGAGGTATTGAGTGTGCTCGTGCTAAAATCAAACGATGAGTTAAATAAATGTTAAATAATAAATAACCTAACAGACCTACATACCTAATGTTAATTATACAATAAAATAATTGAGAAAACTAAAGTGAGTGTATAATTTAATCGGAATAAGGCCCTCGACAACCCATGCCCTACATAAATGATCAAATGGGATCATCGGTATCCTCGGTATATGAGCTGGTTGACCAGTTGCTGGGCCGTTGATAATAGTTGCTACACTTAAATTGTCCTGCAATTCCTTAATAAGCAGCCTCGTCCCATTGCACATGCTTGGAAGGCTTTAATTTCTCAAAAACATGATTGCAATTCCGAATTTTACCAATTTTGTATAATATTTGTATAGACAATTACATTTTCAGAGATTCAGTTATGGGGCGCCATCACCAGGGACAACTGATCACAGATCATTGATCAGTCCCTTGTGAATGGACTGAAATTAAATGAATTTAACGACAATTTGACCAATGTTGAAACTAAAACAACAACAATTCCAAAGTGAACATTTTCTACGTATTCACATGGGACTACAATTTGGTGTCACTAGCTCTTACAGTGTCTGAGATATAGGCGATTATACGTATGGAAAATCGGGAAATCCCCCATAGGGGGAAAGTGGGGGAAAAATCAAAAAAAAAAAAACAAGAGAGAACGCTACAATCGAGCAAGCCCAACAGTGTAATACCCTGTACCCAGGGAAACTTCCGTCACTGAGTTATATGCGCCCAAAGCAGCAGCAAAAAGAGTAAGAAGAAGAGCGAACTTGTTGCTGCGCTAATAACTTTTCTTAGAATTGACAGAATTGAATAAAAAACAGGAGATAATTATTTATAAATTATGTGTGCAAAGTTTGGTTTAGGTAGCATTTGAAATGTGGACGCTATTGACGAAATTCTGCAGCGGGGGAAGGGGGGGGAAATTAAAAAAAAAAATAAACTCGTCCTTACTCGGATCTAGGAGAATCTGGATGCCAACTTTGGTTATTCTAGCTTTTATAGTTTCTGAGATCCTCGCGTTCATCCAGACGGACGGACAGACGGACGGACATGTCTAGATCGATTTCTCTCGTCATGCTGATCAAGAATATATATACTTTATGGGGTCGGAGATGCTTCCTTCTGTATGTTACATACTTTGCACAAACCTAATATACCCTTTTTACCCTACGGGTACAGGGTATAAAAAAACTCGTATAGCGTACACACATAAGACATCATTGTGCAAAATTTGGTGTCTCTATCTCTTATAGTCTCTGAGATCCGGACGAACACACAGACAGATAGACAGGGCTAGGTCGTCTCATGAATCTGATCAAGAATATGTATACTTTGTAGGATCTGCCCGACTACATCTTCCTCCGTTATATATTATTGATCAGGGTGACAAGACAAGTCGATATAGCCATAGAAAATCCTCAACTACACATACTTGCTCCAAGTAAGGGGCCGGTGGTCCTAATTGCAACTCAAGAGAAAATAAGAGTATTATAATAACAAGTAAAAAAGCTAAAGTCGGGTGTCCCGACTTTTAAATACTCTGTACATATATATACAAATTAAAAAAAAAATTTTGATCGATTTTACCTTTCTCGATATTCGAACTCACGTAAATGGTCTATAATTGCACATTTACATAGCAATTGCGTCTGTGTGAGTGTATGTATGTCTATGTGCATCTATTCGTGTCTGTGTAAACATGTGTGCAGTCAACCAAAGCACCAGCATCAACAACAGCCGCGGGCAGCGTTTGAGCAGCGTTTAGCAGCGCTTGAGCAGCGCTGCAGCAGCAAAAATATATTTATGGCTATAACTTCTTGTTAAATCAGTCTATCATAGTGAAACGGACACATAATAACTAACTGGGGGTATTTACAAAGTTTTAGTTCGAAATTCCAAGAATTACGGGAGTTAGAGAAAATCGCGGTTTGCGAGGGAGAGGGGGGAGGGAGGGAAATTCCAAAATACACATTTTCTGCGTATTCTCATAAGGCATCTGGGACTAAAATTTGGTGTCCGTAGGTCTTATAGTCTCTTAGATATAGGCGATTATACGAATGGAAAATCGGGAAAACCCCCATAGGGGGGAAGTAGGGGGGGGGGGGGGGGGTGTGAAAATAAAAAAAAAATAAAACAAACTTGCACAGCGTATATACATAACGCATCTTTGTGCAATACTTTGTGTCTACCTCTTATAGTCTCTGAGATCCAGGTGTTCATACGGACAGACGGACAGACAGACAGACAGGGCTAGATCGACTCGTCTCGTCATGCTGATCAAGAATATACTGCCTGTTACATTTTCAGCTCCCGCAAACCTAATATACTCTTGTACATTTTATGTACAGAGTATAAAAACCTACTCTATGATCTGAGCGATACTAATTTCGTTGCTGAACGAATTTAATATATGGAACTTTGAAATTTACCGTTGCAGTGTTAATTAAGACGGCATTGTGAACAGACCGCAAATAAACTAGAAAAAATATTATAAGAAAACTTAAATCTAGAATATTGAGATCAAAAATGATAATTGAACAATACCGAAGAAATCCCTTCATTATACTTATATGCGTATTTAATATTGTTCTGTGTTGTCTTTATTTGAGACTAATCCTGATACGTTTCAATTACATGCAGAATATATTCAAAGCCGACTCGATAGAAATAAAAATAGAACACGGTAGTGTACGGATAATTTTGCTCCTCAGCGCTTTTTGAGAATTCTGTTTAATTACAGTCGAAACGCCTGCAGTTGATCCGAACATGGAGGATAGGTATTTTGTGTATACCTCCCAGTGCCATATGCCCAAAATAAATCCATTTTCCGCCGACGCATTGAAAATATACAATCCAGTAAATTACACAATTTGTGATAAAAGTAAAAAGCTGATAACCGTGAACTTCAATAGCAAAAAAAAGCAATATAAACTGCACATGAATATTAAAACCATCAGCTGCTGTTACCAATCAATTAAACGAAGTGGACGTGGACGGAGTGCAGATAGAAAATACTCGTAAGTAATGCATTAATCCACAATGCACCAATGTAGAGTGATAGGTTTATAAAACAATATCGGTTTGGACTCTGTTCGAGTGGGGAAGGAATATACTCCTACATTGATGTCCCGTTCTCTTATTGTTCCAGAATAATCGACGTTCATACAGACGGACACTTGACTTTCTTATTTAAAACAAAATACAACTAATTCAATTGTACCTTCTAGCCTGAGCCCATGTAGAAATATCAGTCAGGATTTCGTGGTTCCACACCATGTGAAGGAAATCATTACAATATGCAAAACGAAGAATAGCAGAAAGGTGTTGAAAGAAGCATTCACTTTTGTGCATCCACCTAAGAAAATGAAGAATCAGAAGCACAGGAAACCGAGCATTCTTCTATGGGGGATCGATTCATTGTCTCGCATTAACTTTCGACGTACCATGCCGCTCACATACAAGTATCTGCAAGAACAGTCCTGGTACGAGCTCCAAGGTTACAATAAAGTAAGTGATCCTATGCATTTAAGTTCGGGAAGTATAACTGTTTAATACCATAACAGATCCATTACAATACGTTTCCTAATTTAATGGCCTTACTGTCGGGCTACAATTACTCGTTAATTGACAAATATTGTCATCCCCAAATTGTTGGTGGCTTAAATGATTGTCCCTTGCTCTGGAAAAATTACAGTAAACATGGATATAAAACCGCATATGCCGAGGACTGGACTTATTATGCTACTTTTAATTATTTAATACCAGGATTCCTGAAACCCCCCACTGATTACTATCTCCGACCATTTATGCTGGCCATTGAAAAAATTCTTTCAGGCAATGGGAACTGTCGGGGTCGCCGACTTATGGCCGAATATGTTTACGACTACGCAGTGCAATTTACAAATCTTTTAAGATCCCAACCTACGTTCGGATTGTTTTGGACAAACAGTTTCAGTCACTCACTGTTCTTTTTGCCCTCATCCATGGATAAAAAAATGGTCAAGTACATGCATACTCTGAAAAAAAATGGAATAATGGATAACTCCATCATTTTTTTTCTGAGCGACCATGGTATGCGTTTTGGACCGCTCAGACAATTGAAGAGTGGCTTTGTGGAAGAACGTTTGCCAAATATGTTCATTTGGCTTCCCAAATGGTTTCGCCAACAATATCCATCCTTCGAACTAGCCTTAAAGCTAAATAGAAACCGCCTGTCATCTCCCTATGATATTTATGCCACACTTCACCATATATTGCAATTAAAAACATCTACGAACCATTTGCCTCGAGCCTCGAGCTGTCCTAAATGCCGGAGTGTTTTCTTCGAAATTCCCGAGAATCGAACCTGTGCCGATGCGGGAATCACACCGCACTGGTGTACATGCAACGTGTTCGAAAATATTAGCACAGCTGATAGAGTTGTTAAGATAATTATATCGAAATTGATCAAAGCCACGAATTCCTACCTAAGTGCACGGCATCTTAGCCATCGATGTAGTAAGCTGAAGCTTTCTCAAATTATCTCAGCCAAGACCAAGAATGATCCGGAAGGAAAACAGCAGATCTTCCGCCTTCGATACGAAACAAAACCAAAAAAATCCCTCTTTGCAGCAACTGTCAGATGGAACAAGAAGACAGGAGGCATTCCCATTAATATCGACGACATTAGCCGCCTAAATAAATATCAAACCACTTCCAATTGCATTAAAGACAAAACTGCAATGAAGTATTGCATTTGCACCCATTAGGCATCGCTTATATTATTATTTGTAATAAACGTACTAGCCCTGCCTTATAGTTGTTTCCATATTTTTATAATCAGCGATGCTGAATATTCCTGATTGTAAGAAGCATAAATGTTTTAATTACAACTTGTTAACCTAACGCTAAAAACATCCTATAACCTTAAAACCTAGTGGAAAGAAAATATTATAAATTATTTTATTATTTTTTAATATACTTTACAGAGTAATAATTAAATTTGATTCTGGCTTAGTGTGAAAAAACCTCCAACGTTTTACTAAATAATGGATGTCGAATTATGTTCATTTTTGGTAAATACGTAATCTTAAAATTCAATAGAATATTTTTGTGATTTCAAATATTTATCATTTTGCATTTTAAAATGTTTGCTGTGATATTACCCAGAGTGGCGAAAATCTATAATTTTTCATAAACTGCTTTAATTTTTACTAAATTTATAGACAGTGTTTAATTTAAAATGCTGCTTTCTTTAATTCGCAAAGAATAAAAATTATTGTTTTAAACTCAACTTTTTGTTGTTCTGCTTCTTTTAAATCGTGTTACCCACTTTGTAATTTTATACCCCATAAAAATGTTCTATAATGCATTTTCCGTTCTCTATCTGCATACTTCCCCGAAAAGAAAATTAATAAAACCGCATGGCCATTGTTGGTTACAAAAAAAAACATATACTCGTGTACATGAAAGTATAGAATGGAATTTTTTAATATATTACACTTTAATGGCTTTTTTACGCCTTCCTTAATGGGCGTGCCAATGGACTAACTGTCCACTGCAACATATTGACAATTGCAGTTGCTTATCAGCTGCCAACTTTCGCTGCACTTTTAATTGCAAATGTGAAAGGTTTATGGCAAATGACACTTATTTAAAAATAAAAAAAATAAACTGACTGGACTGGACTTAAATTTGCAGTCCTTTTGTGCAGTAATTATGTTAAATAATGTGCACATATGGCAATTGCAAACGACTCGGCCATGCACATAATTATGAAAACCCATCGAACATTTATTGCCAGTCATAAATCATTGAAAGAAAACTCTGTGGATAATCGGATGCGTTGGACCCACACTTTTTACAAACTTATTGGACTAATCAGTGGAAAGGCATGCTCGGAGCTGGGACCCAGACATGCGCGCAGAGGGTGGCTCATAAAGTAGCCGCCGACACGCGACATGCGACAAGTCCGCGCCCTTACCCCTCAAACTAACCCTCAGCCGCTGGCAGGAAGCATTTTGGGCAACAAAACAGCTGCATGTTGTATCAGGAATGGGAATGCATAGCAACCAACCCCCTAACCCCGGCCCTCTAGCTAGATCGGCAGTTGCCTGACAGTTGACGGCTTAGCGCGACAAGTTTTTGGGAGCAGCATGTTGCCAGGCCCTTAGGTCATTATTCTTGTTATTGTTGTTGTTTGAAAATTGCATGCCTCACTGCTCTCGTTGGCTGTTGCAATTTGCAATTGAGACTTTGCTTGTGGTACGAGTGTAGTTGAGGTTGAGGTTGGGAGCCACAGCAGCGATGTAAGAGACTGGGTTCCTATGCAGGAATTACCATAAATGTGACATTCCGGCAGTAATTTATGGCAGGAAGAGAGTGAGATATGCAACTGAAACTCAAATCTCTGAAGTAACAGCTTAGTCAGATCACTTGGTGGGATCATGCACATGGCCCTTCCTTATCTTAAAGAGGACAAGCTAAGTTTAAGGACCACGCTCTGCAGAAATGTTTCGAATGTTTCTAAAGTGATGGAGACTCAACTTAAAATACATTTACTGGTCAAAGTTTGCAAAGACTATAAATTTGTATTATAGTTGCATTACATATATACAGTATGAGCTTACCTGCCAAGTTTGGCAGCCCTACCTATTATTGTTCAAAACTTCTAGACGCTCATACAGACGGACAGCGGAAAGCACAAACAGATTTAAGTACATTGGTTCAGTGCCGCTATTAGATATAGACTTTTGAAAATATCTGGATACACAAGCCGAGTCTGTCGAGATACAAACAGCATGGCTTACCTACTATTCGGTACCTCAGCTAATTCCTAAAATACTCGTTAAGCTCTAGCTGACATTCCCAACTGAGTTAAAGTATTCAAGCTGGGCGTTAAGTTGTACTCTTAACCAGTTGCTGTCACTCAAATATGAAATATGTAGGTATAACAGATAATTCGACCCTCACCAAGGCATTCTCCTTTTGGGCAAAAATGAATGTCATCATTAAAAACTGCGAAAAATAACAATTTCCAGCATCCTTCACAAATATTAAATTCAGCATTTTATTAGTTTTTGACGTTTATCTCATAAGTACTAATAATATTTCATGTTTGTAAAAATGATTTCACTTCTTCATTTTATTCTTTTTTTAATCAATCTTCCGGTTCCTTTCTCTTTTTATATTGAATGATTTTTTATAAAAATGTTAAGTAAATCCGATTTTCCATACGTCAGATGTCTACGAATCAAATTTATCAATTTTAACGACCAGCCTATAGTTTTGCTATAAATCTTTATCTAATAAGTACTAATAATATTTAATTATTTTTATAAAAATTGATTTCACTTCCTCATTTTATCCTTTTTTTCGATAATTCTTACTTGTTTTTTTTTTATACTGAATGATTATTTTAAAAAATGTTAAATATGTGCATCCGATTTTCTATACATCAGATATCTACGAATCAAATTTGTCAATATTAACGACCAGACTATGGTTTTGTTCAAAATCTTTATCTGATAAGTCTAATTATATTTAATTTTTGTAAAAATTAATTTCATTTCCTCATTTTATTCTTTTTTCAATCAATCTTTCGGTTTCTTTCTCTTTTTATTCTGAATGATGCTTTATTTTTCGTCAGATTTCTACACATTGAATTTGAAATTTTAACGACCAGCCTATGGTTTTCTTACAATATTGGCAGTGTTTTCTTTTCTTCCTAGCATCCATTCTATGCTGTTCTGATTTAATTGTGTGCGTCCTTCGAGAATATTTCATTGAGGAATGTGACTCATTTTCTCCTCTGCATTACAAATAAATACCCTGCTTAATTGTTTTTCAGTATTGTTACCTAATGATACTCTTTCCTTTGACTATATGTTGTTTAGTTCATTTTAAAATTTGGTGCTTCGACAGCTTTAATTTATTCTAGTCTTCTATCTTCTCTCCCCTACTATCGATCTCTAGTTCATACTTTCACTCTCTTCGCGTGATTTTCGTTCCAAACTTCGACCAGCTAGCTACCCCATCAAATTTACATCTCATTTGCTTCGACCACAGTTCTTTCCCACTTTGTTCTGTCATTTGTTGAACTCCCCCTGTGGCTGTTAGGCCATTTGGAATATCAGAAGCACTGCACTTGACACTTTCCTACCCAGTGCGCCAAAAAGCACACTTCATTCACCTCATTTCATTGCGTTTCATTAAGCTGCCAATGGCAATGGATAACAAAGAGAGGTAGCAGTCAGCTTTTAGCTTCCTCTGAAGCTGACTGCCTGCGTAGCCAGGCCTGACTGCCTGCCTGCTTGACTGAGTGGCAACCAACCACGCGTAGTTTTTGCCTCAAAGCAAGAATTTGCAGCGCGCATTTCAATTTACAAATGATAGAAAATGCTTGTGGCAAGTGCAGAATGTGAGAAAACCGGAGAGAGATGGCGAGCATGGAGTGGAGATGAATGGGATCGATTGAAGAGAGCGGGGGTGGGGGCCGAGCCTGTGCTATACGAGTACATAATGAAAATGGCAACTCAACAGTCATGGTTACAATTTTTAATTCAATTCCATTAAGAGTCGCACACACTTTACACTTCTTGCTTGCTGGCTTGCTTGCATTGGCACAGCTGGCGTGAAAAGTGCTGGCTGTAAATTGTTGTTGTTATTGTAGTCGTGCATACATACGTGCGAGTGTTACAATCAAACTAATGTTTGGCACAGGCTCTGAGTGAACTAATGAAGCGAAGGACTCGGCGCCGGCGAGCGACGATTGATTGCTCCCCGGAGGCGCCAACGCTCCGCACTTGTCGCGCAAAGAAAACAACGAGAACTTGATGCAATCACCACCCATTATTGCCAACCCCTCTGTCGATGGTTGTGTGAGAATATCTCATCCCCGAGGAGTGCGTGTTGCATTGGCCACGGCCTTCGGCTAAGCTCGAACTGCAGTTTCATGGCTCTTTGATAATTTATCAACGCCATGAGGGGTGATAATTCCAACACCCCCCAGCACCCACCCCAGCACCATTTCAAGATGCATAATAAGACTTGTAAAGTTGCTTGCGCCCGCTTACCCAGAGAGTCGTTAAGATAAGTGTAGCAACAGGAAGTGGCAAGTTGAACATGCCGCAATGATTACCCGCTTAAGATCTAAAAACTTGCCTCCAGGGGCGGTTCACACTCACCTCTATATAACCCTGGACACTGTCGCATTGCTGCAGCACTAAAATGGCCGGATTAGCCCTCAAGTCATCGGGGGAGCAGGGCGATAAGAAACCGCTATCCGCATCGCTGTGCGTGGACAGAGGACGTGCTTTCCGTATCTTGTACTGCACATGACGACTGGGCACGGGTCCGGGATTGAAGAGCACATAGTTCGATTCTATGGGCACCGTATGTGCGCGCAGATCCTTGTTTTGCTCCTGAAACAGCTGCTGTAAATGGAGCATATGATCTGTGCTAACCAGTTCCGAGATTGCACGCTGTTCCGTAAGAGCTTTATGTGCGTTCTTCTTGCTCACACGAAATGGTGACAGATTGAGGAAGGTTAACTTCTTTTTCATCGAACGTTGTTGGGCATTGGAGCTGCCGCTGGAGCTGGCAGAGTTAGTCGATGTGGAGGATTCGACCAGAGCTGTAGATGTGGTTTCAGTATTTGTAGTAGTCTCTGTGGTATCCTTAGACTCCTGGCTATTGGACATGCTAGGGGCAGAGTCAAAAGCGCTGAGCAGCTTCTCTAGACTTTGGGAGGCACGTAACTGTTCTTGCTGCTGTTCCAGCTTGGCATTAACAAGCTGCTCATTGGTATAGGGGTTCGGTATGCCTATGTCTAGCATAGGCTCCAGCTCAAAATCCGAGGGATCTATGACAAAGTAATTGTGATGCTCAAAGCTGGACAAAGCGCAGGCACTGCCCTCTGTTTCAGCCTCCGCTTCGCCCGAAGTTTCGATAATTATTGTTTCCTCCAGCTCCTGTTCATCGTATATTACTTCGGGCACTAACTCCTCATCATCGCACACCAGATGCTGTC